TTGCCGCAATCGCCCTCAGCATTGTTCATGCATCGGGAATGATTCGCAGAAACATCCTATCGGCTTAAGAGAAACAGAAAACGACGATTTTTACGATGGTAGCATCGAGAAGGCCAACGCCGACCTCATACAAAGAATAAGTAAGCCGTGTCCGAAGTGTAAGACTCCGATTGAGAAGACCGGTGGATGTAACCATATTACTTGCATATGCAGCTTCAGCTGGTGTTGGTTTTGCGACGACGCGTGGACGGAAAAGTGCCAGTGGAACCACTGGTTCGAGTAGTTCGACAGAAGGAAATCATATTTGATTTTTGATTCTGCTCAGCGACGCATCGCTCAAAGATTTTAAAACATGGCGCCAGTGTCTTTGGAAAGTAGTCACTAAATTTAATTTAATGAACTAGAGTTGAAGCCACCTAACCTGCATGTGGTCTTATCCGCTTTTGGTCGCCATGCTTGCGCAAGTGTTGCCGTTGCTATTACTAAATAATTGATTTTTAAGATATAAATTGCTGTTTCATGATATAAGCTTCTTTGAAGGAAACATCTTGCAAACAATGAAGGAATCGCTAATTCTTAGAAAATAAGGACGAGAAACTTAGCATGGTTAATGAATCCTTTCAGTGACCGGTGTGGAAGCGTCTTTCCCGTTGTTGACTTGCAAAATCGCCGACATTAAACGATTTATCCAAGGATTATTCATCCTCATCTTCCAACGCCTCTTCTTTTGGATCGCGGAGGCAGACACGTTAGACAGAGCTTCCAACGCTCCGATCCAGTGCCATAGTCTGAGCTTCGGCAGAAGACAGTTGGAGTCTGGAACACACTCCTTCGATATATTTGCACCAGGTTAATCTTGGCTGTCCTCTGGGCTTTCTGCCGGCCGCATTCGTAAGAAACAGTTGCTTAGCCTTCTTTTCTGGAGGCATTCCGAACCCATGGCCAAACCATCGCAGCTGTGACCTATCAATCTCCAGAAACAAAAGCTGTACAACAAGGCTCTCCGGATGTCACCAGTCTGGACCATGTCGAGAGGGATTAGGCCAGCGACTCGTCTAAAAAGGTCCATTTCGGCAGTTTGTACCCGGGTTCGAGGTTTTTCACTGATGGTCCACGATTCATGACCGTAGATAAGTATGGGGATAAAGATCGACTTGAATATCGAGAGCTTAGT